CAAATTTGACCTTTGACTTTCAAGTTTGACTTTCAGGTTTGACTTTTAAGTTTGACTTTTGTGACAACCATCACTTTCTGGTCAGGTCAAAGTCAAAGAAAGTCAACAAGTCAAACTAGTCAACTCGACTAGTACTAATATGATTAGGGATTTCTTTATGGTTACTAATTTATGACTCTAAACCTTAAATGCAAAGTAACACTTGAACGTTTCAAATGTTCAAAATTCTAAACCCTGATCAGAAGGAGGGAAGTAACAACTCTATAAAACACTATCACGTGCCCTTTGAGTGTTTGAATGGGATGTAACTAAGCCTACGGTCTTTGAACTACGAAGAAAAACATTAATAAAGGCTCCCGACAAAGTCTCTCTCAATCTCTCCCATTGTATCTATCTCTCTCCTAAATCTCTCCAAGTATGTGAAATCTCTCCCAAATCTCTCCAAGTATGTGAAATCTCCCCCAAATCTCTCCAAGTATATGAAATCTCTCCCAAATCTCTCCAAGTATGTGAAATCTCTCTCAAATCTCTCCAAGTACGTGAAATCTCTCCCAAATCTCTTCAAGTATGTGAAATCTCTCCCAAATCTCTCCAAGCATGTGAAATCTCTCCCAAATCTCTCAAAGTATGTGAAATCTCTCCCAAATCTCTCCAAGAATGTGAAATCTCTCCCAAATCTCTCTATGTACCTTCCTGAGTCGAAAACAGCCCAAAACCAAAGTAGAAAACCCAAATGAACCCTCTTGGTCCGGAACCCTCTTAGTCCGGAACCGGACAATTTCGCATCTCCCTCAGCTTCGGACTCCTTCACTCCGGAGTACTCTTCCCTCGCACGTCTCGGAAGACGTCGCTCCGGAACCCTCGCAGGTTCGCTTCCTTCTCCCGATTTTCGACCACTTTTGCGTTTTAAGCTCGTTTTCATGATTTTCGCGTGGGATTTTCACCCAAACTTATATTTTGACATATAAGACCATATATAATCATATTTTAATCACATTTTGGGGGAAATCTTAACTTAAGGACAATATCTAGTGGGTGAGATATTGAGTTAGAGTGTTGATTTTTCCATGAAGTGTGACTCAAGCTAACCCCCATACCCACATAGGACAACCCTCGGTCACTATTCATCCATACCTAGTCAAATATTTGTCCTCTCACACCTCTCCTCGAGCTGGTAACTTGATCAAAAGTTGGAAACCCCTATCTCTCCTTCCACTTTACTCACTCTCTCACCAAGAAACAAACACTTCTCTCTCATTTCCCTCTCTAAGAACCCGAGACTCCAAGGCTGCCTTTGAGCTTCTCACCCTCATTCAGTAAGTATTCTCATCCTACATTGAACATTCTTCACTCCTTCACTCAGATTATGAATCTCTCATAACAAATGTCACCGTAATTGTTCTTAGATCTTCAACTCTCCAAGCTCCTATCAAGTGTTCTTGACTTGGAAACCCTTTCTCTTCAGCATACATCTAAGGAAATCACTCAAGGTGAGTTCATACCCCTACATTTTCATGTTTTCTTCTAGTTTTAAATGGGGGGGGGGGGGTGGGAATACAAGTTAATACATCAAAAACTTAACTAAGCTCAAACAACAGCTTTCATCAGAAAAGTTGTGTCCCATTTACGGACTGTTTTGACCATCTTAAACTTAATGTCTTTCAAAACGGTTTTATATACAAGTAGTTCAGGTTTATACCTTTCTAATGACTACTTGCACATCTCCATACGATTTTTCTACAATTTATGATGATTTTTACAAAACTGCCTATCATTTCATAAACAAATTCGGACCAGTCTGTGAATATGAACAATTTCACACAAGTTAGAGACTTCTAAAAATCATAATAAAAATTATGAATAAACTATATACATTTACTAAACTCTCAGAGTTTACGGATTCAGTTTTCGACTTCGTATGATTTTTCTATGATCATTTTAAAACAGTGTAGAAAGGTTAAAAACTAGTTAACAGTTTACTACTTACACTTTGTAACATGTTGAGCAAAGTGTCTATCATTGATGACTATCTTTTACATGTGTTTTCTGTTGAGTTACATTTAAATAACAGAAATGATTTACTGAATTGCAAGAGTCCTTTATCATTTTAAACATACTACGTAAAGAGGGGATTTATTTCCACCATTCAAAAAGGTTTTATACTCAAACCACACGTAAACTCGTTAACGTAAGTTGTGAGACAATTCTCCAATTGTACTCTTAGAGTACGGGTTAAAAATTCCAGTAAGTTATAACCAGAATCTCTTGTAGGAAGACCGTGATAATTGTATATAGATCTATATTGAGATTGACACCCCACACCTTGCTGCTAGCTACAGCGAGACATGTAGGTCTACGGGTGACAAAAGTCATAACAAATTCTAACGCCTGAGAAACGTGTAGCAGGTCATCTAGTTGTAGTATGGTTATAACGACTCCCATAGGGAGTTAACAACACTTAAAGTTTTACGGGAAATTCTACTTAAAAAAGGGTTTTATCTATTTAAAATTGCATTCTTCGTTGCAACTACGAAACACACTCATACATTCGGTCTTGGGATTTAAGACTACATAACATTTTATAAGGAAAATATTGGATTTTTCTTGTGTATACGTTACATTTACAAATAAGGGGTTTACAATCACTACAACCAAAAGCTTATGAACTCACCAACTTAATTGTTGACACTCTTTCAAAACTACTTGTATTCTCAGGAAACCAGTGAAACAGGTAATCAACTGCTTTTAAGGATGGGACGCAAGACGTCAATTAATACATTTTTCTCATCATAATGTAATTGTTTTTGAAACATGTAAACTCATACTATGGTGTAACTTTATCAATTATATTTATGATGGTTGTATTTACTATGAGCACTATTATACTCGTTGTTGTGATACTATACATGAAGTTATTCCCACCCCCGGACGTTTCCGTCATCCTTGGTTTGGGGGTGTGACAAGGTCTGTAGGAAATTATTTTCTTGTTTTCTATCTCTCAGTCATATGTTGCTTCCTCTGCGTGATTGGAAGAGATCCGACCTGGATTGCAACATATGCGACTCTAATTCTACGCACCTCCTTATCTATGAAATTCTTTCTATCTGTTAGTCATATGCTGTCCCCTCTGCGTGAACGGAAGATCCGACCTGGGACACAGCATATGCAACATTCTGCCTCTCAATCCCTCTATCTCTACCAGTCATATGTTGTCCTCTATGCGTGATTGAAAGAGATCCGACCTAGGACACAACATATGCACCTATTTTCTAAATCTGATTTCCTCCTTAATAATTGTTTACTCACCTAAAGTAAGGAGTTCTTTTGGAAGTTCTTGATAACCAGGGTATATCGGGAAGTAGGGAACACGTTCTAGTGCAACTAAAATTGAACCATTTAAGAGGTTGTCTGTAGATCTCGCTGCTTAATTTAAGTGGAAAACAATACTCGTGGTCGTCGTCAGCTGAATGGTATATTTGTAAAAGTTTGTTAATATTCTTCGTGTTTAAGTGGACCACAATACCGGCAATTGACCAGATTTATTCATGAAGGTGAAGGTACTGATAAACAAAGTTAAGACTGTCTCACAACTTTGATCCCAAATACTTTTTGTTTTTGTTAAATTTGTTCATAGTTTTCCTCTATGCACAAATTTAGGGGGAGAATTAAAAATATCAAAAATAAAAAAAATCAGAAAATTCAAAAAATCAAACAAAAATCAGAAAATTAAAAATCCAAAAATAGTGTTATTTCTGTTTTATTTCTTGTTCAAGAAAATCAAAAATCCAAAAAATTTTGTTTCTGTTTTATTTTTTCAGAAAATATGAAAAATCCAAAAATATTGTGTGTTAAGTTTTGTTTTAGTTTTGTTTTGTCTTAAAAAGTGAATTCAGGTGTAGATGAGATTCATGGAGACTGTATCGAGATTTCTGAGCCAAAGCTTCATCCGTGATCATCGAAGAATTCTCATTCGAAGGAGCAAGAAATGAAGACTATTCTTTCAACATTCAATCCTTCAACCCCAGAAGCAAGGTGAAGCTGACTTGAAGATTATGTGACAAGTTGCATTGAAGCCTCCTCAATCAATTTGCTGCTATCTTGTACCTGCTGAAGTAATCCAGAAGATTGTTTCTCTCTGATATTCTCTCTGAAGATTCTCAAGCTGAAAGCGCTATCTTTCAAGAATCTTTTCAAGAAGGCTCCTCACCCAACGTGCGTTCATTGTCAAATTTTGAAGAAAAGCCCAACTGCTCAAGATGAAGTCATACATTTGAAGATTCATCAAGTTCATCTTGAAGTTGTGAAGAATTTGAAGATTAATGCTGAAGCCAAGCTCCCAATGAAGATTAACAAGAAAGGCCAACTACCTTTTTAGGGGGAGTTTGTTGGGTCAGTTAGAAAAGAAAGCTATAAACCAAGGGGGAGATTGTTGGGTCAAAAATATGGTTTATACTTTGTTTTTCTAGGCAATTGTATTTTTTAGTCTAGGACCGTAAACATCCTTGGTGTTTGCGGTTAGATGTGTTCACGAGTGTGTTTACGGCTCAATTTAAAAACTTGCTAGTGTGTGAATCTTGTGTAAGGGAATTTCATTCTAATCAAATCATACAAGATTCATATTATTCTTCTTCTCCTTATCTTCTATTTTGATCTGGCATCATCCATTTGATCGGGATTCCGCACCATCAAACGGATCTGATTGATACACAAGCAGATTTGGGACTTACAACAACTTTGGTCCATTTTTTAAAAACTTGCTAATTCAAACTAATTTAATTCTTTAGCCATTTTGATATTTTTGATCCTTACAGTCAAAACTTTTATATTTTTTCATAAAAAACACAAAAAACGGCCCGGGATGAAGCCCGGGTTTTTCCGCTAGTTTTTATAAAATTCGTGGATAGGTTAGTCTTTCAAAAGTCATTATGACATTATCCCTTGAATCCTTGAATTGAATTAAATAGGAAGGATGTAAATTGCTTTATAAGTCATTTTTTGGGAGCAAAGTGAAATATTTACCCTTGCATTTCTTCTTTCATCTGGACTCGCACACCCAAAGAACAGAAGTAGAAAGAACGAAGAAAACGATCTAGCAAGCCATCGGATCTCCTCACATCGTAGCGACCAACTTATAGGTGTGTTTTCGATCTTGCCGATCCACATCTTCCGACACCATTATTGACCCGATTACATTGATTAAATTCATCGATCTATACTTTTTAAACTGCAGGGGTGCTCAAATCTTTGCACTTGAATTAGTCGCCATTGAACTTCGATACTCTTCAAAATGGTAATTATGATCACTAGACTGTTGAATTTCATACATTCAAGTCGAATTTGTGATTAGTAAGAATTTTAGCATCATATCTGATCTCTCGAGTTGCTTGTAAATTTAGGGTTTCTGGTCTAGATTTGGTTGCTAATTTATCTGTTTTGTTATAGGTTGTTCTAGCAGCCTCCATCATCAGTAAATCTGGCAAAGGTGAGTGGTTTGGTTCACTTTATATTTCCTTTATGTTTGAATCGTGCAACAGATTCGAATGTGATTGTTATCTTTAGTTTGTCTGAATGTGAAAATAGAATGTCAACCAACCAAGAATGTTCGATGGACTTAATAATGTTTTAGCTCTTATATAATCTAAGTTGGTGTAAATGTGTAGAACTTATGAACACATCAGGAGATCTAAGTGAGTTTATGAATAGAACAAAGAAAAATAGCAATCATAACCACAACTAATACACAAACTCAGCTGCTTTGTGCTTGAAGATGTTTTGAAACTCCTATACTTTTCAAATAACAGATTTAGTTCATGGGTTGACTTGTTAGCAGCTGAATTTGACTTGCTAATCTAGTACCATTTTATTTCGTGTGGCTTAGATCACTGAAGATACTACCCCATTTGTAATTCCTATGATTTGGTACTTTCATCTTGGTTTGTATATGACACTCATCATTGTTCAAATCAAGGTTCATCCATTCTCAAGGGAGTCTGAGCCTCTAGAGTCTAGGGTTGAGCCAAAGATGGCATTTACTAGCAACTTAAAAACTGAATAAATACGTTTTGAACATAAAAACAACTGATGAAAAGGTTTCATTAGATAAGAAAAGGCTTATTTTTCATAGTGTGTAAAGCCCCAAACCAGTAAAATTTGCATTTTTTTTTCTTGTTTTTTAGCCTGCAATGTTGTATGCTATTTTTAGGCATTCAGAATGATACTTTAAGTGGATCCTATTAGCTAACAATCTTAGAAATTTTCACAGCACTTGTTTCGAGGCAGTTTGTTGACATGTCTCGCATTAGAATCGAGGGGCTTCTTGCAGCTTTCCCTAAGTTAGTTGGAAGTGGGAAACAGCATACCTATGTTGAAACAGAGAATGTGCGCTATGTGTATCAGCCAATTGAGAGCTTATATCTGCTACTTGTCACAAACAAACAAAGCAATATTCTTGAGGATCTTGATACACTGAGACTTCTTTCGAAAGTTGTATCCTTTTTCCTACATTAGAAAATCCCATCATGTTTCTTTTTCAGTTCCTGCATTATGCTGTTTTTGTCATAACAATGCAAATGTGTTTCTTTTTCCATTGATTGCATTGACTTAACAATGGATAGATCCCTGAGTTTTCAGCCTCTCTAGATGAAGAAGGCATTTGCAAGTATGCTTTTGAGCTGATTTTTGCTTTTGATGAAGTCATTTCCCTTGGGCACAAGGAAAATGTAACTGTTGCCCAAGTGAAACAATACATTGAGATGGAAAGTCATGAAGAAAGACTACACAAATTGGTATTACAAAGCAAAATCAATGAAACCAAAGATGTAATGAAACGTAAAGCCAATGAAATCGACAAAAGCAAGGCAAGTTTATCATTGTTCAATCATCAATGAGATTTTCAATTTCATTCTTATTCTCCAATCATCATACTTTCTAACAAATCTTTTTGCAGATTGAAAGGGGCAAAATGGACAAAGGAGGGTATTCATCTTTACAATCAATGGGTTCCATGGGTTCAGTAGGAAGAATGGATAGTGGGTTTGGTAATGATACTGGCATATCAAGTGGCAACAACTTTGGAAGTGGTTCTGGATTTGGATTAAGCTCTGATATTGACTCCTTTTCAACCAAATCTAAAGGTTATTGTCTTTTTTAAATTTTAACTTTTAATGATATGATCTTATCAAAAAAGAGTCTTTATAACTAACATATATGAATCTTTTCAGGTAAACCAAGTGCAGCTGTTAGTGCACCAAGTAAAGGAATGGGAATGAAGTTAGGTAAAAATCAAAGGGCAAATCAATTCTTGGAATCATTGAAAGCTGAAGGTGAAGTGATTGTGGAAGATGTCCGCCCGAGTGGTGGCAAAAATCCGGGCAGCAGATCAGCTGCCCCACCACCTACTGATCCCATCACTCTGACAACTGAAGAAAAACTGAGTGTGACATTGAAGAGAGATGGAGGTGTCAGCAACTTTGATGTTCAAGGAACTTTGTCTCTTCAAGTACTTAACCAAGATGATGGCTTTATCCAAGTTCAGGTAAATTGCTATTTTTGCCTATAGAATTAAATTCTCCACTTATGTTAAAAAATACAATCACCATAATTACAGATTGCAAGTGGAGATAATCCTGAAATAAAATTCAAAACACATCCAAACATCAACAAAGAGCTTTTCTCAAATGAAAACATTTTGGGATTAAAAGATCCTAATCGTCCATTTCCTGCTGGACAATCTGGTGATGGACTTGGTCTTCTCAAATGGAGATTGCAGAGTAAAGATGAGTCTGATGTGCCATTGACAAGTAAGCAGAGCAACGTCTACTGAATCCTTTTTTAGATTTTATTTAATATTTTAATATTGTAACATGAATTTTAAATTTTTATTTTTTTTATTTTTCAGTTAACTGTTGGCCTTCTGTTTCTGGGAATGAAACGTATGTTAGTATCGAGTATGAAGCTTCTTCAATGTTTGATTTACAAAATGTTGTTATTTCGGTTCCTCTTCCCGCTCTCAGAGAGGCACCAAATGTAAAGCAGATTGATGGTGAATGGAGGTGAGAGAATTAATTCTAGCTTCTTTATAATCAATAAGTTACACTTTTGGTCCCTGTGTTTTTTTGGATGATAAGGACCATTCATTATTCCAAAAAAGATTTGTTTTTGGAGCTGATCCAGAAACACCACGTAAACACAGGGGACTGGAAGTGTAATTTAAATATTATGATTTATGATGATGAACTTATTTGTTATATATATATATATATATATATATATATATATATATATATATATATATATATATATATATTGGTACTTTAGGTTTGACTCAAGAAATTCAATGCTGGAGTGGTCTATAGTTCTGATTGATGACTCAAACCGCAGGTTTGTTTGACAAAAATTTCATGTTTTCAATTTTTTTATATAATTATTTATTTATTCAGAATATAATGTTAAATGTTGTTGATGAACATGTGTGTGTAGTGGGTCAATGGAGTTTGTTGTACCTCCAGCTGATTCCTCGGCCTTTTTCCCCATATCTGTGCGTTTCTCTGCAACAACTACTTTCAGTGACATGAAGGTATGTATATATATAAATGGCTTTTCATTTTATTTCTTTGTTTTACACACACCAGAAATGAAAAATTAAAAATTGAAAATAAAAAATAATTGCAGGTTGTTAATATCGTGCCACTGAAAGGTCAAGGTCAGGGTGGGTCTGGTCCCAAGTTTACTCAGAGGACACAATTGGTGACAGAGAGCTACCAAGTTGTTTGATTATGGAAGGATGTTGTTTTTGGTTGGACTCGTATTAATGTGTGTTATAATATAGTGTGCGTAAGGATTTTCAATTTTCATGGTCTATATTTTCAAAGGAATGAAAATATTATTAATCGGAGTAGTTGCAACTTTCTAGACTCAACCTATTTGTAATAACAAACAAACCGAGTTTACACCCATACACATACTTTTCATTAACCTTTCTAGTTTTACCATTTTTCAGAGGTGGTTTTCGTTTTCTTTAGTTTACTATGTTTTTATGGTTTTACCTTAAATATGTATTTTTCTTTCTCATTTTTATCCCATAATTTTTTATGCAACTTGTTAATTTTTACTCGTTTTAACCCATACTTACGTTTATCAGCTGTGTTTGGAAATAACAATCCATTAAAAACATTGATACCGAGATTAGCTGCAACAAGGTCATACGTATCGCAATTCCTAATACAAGAGTAAAAGTAAGAATAATCAACAATATGATCTCATAGACTTTTTTTTTTTCATGTATTCCATTATGATTCCTATAGACCTCCTAAGGAATTAGCAAGTAAATACAAATATGTATACTAGTAACAACATCAATGTATTCTTTTGGTTACATACTAGTAAAAACTCTTATGCTTTTGTTGCGTCAAGAGTCCAATCTTGGGTATTGTAAGACCATATCTTACGGAATTGCGGCATATATGGTGTGAATTTTGACTATGTTTGTGCCTTGGCTTCTTTTCGTAACAAGCTTCACGATATTGACCTTACCAGTTTTACTACTAAGGACTATGCTTGTGCCTTGGTGTGAATACACTGACGAGTGTCATTTTTAGTAAAATTGTCCAAAATATGGAAGTGCATCTCGACATGACGGCTCAAAGTAGTTTTTCAGTGTTTAAGTGCATCAAATGTTCAAGTTTTTCTTCTAGCTATATATGGGCTTGGTCAACATGTCTCCTGTGGAGTATCGTACTATCCTCAAATATCGTCTCATGATCTTAATATTCCGAACTGACGAGATATGTCCGGTGTATGGCAAGGCATGTTTGGACTCTTTTGGAGAGCATGCAGTTCACTGTAAAGAACTCACGGGGTTCAAATACAGCCATAATATGATTATGGATGTTTTGTTTGACATATTTAAGTGTGTCGGGGTTTCCGCAAAGAAAGAGACTCATGTGAATTTGTTGACTGACCTGGCAGAAGGAAAGTCAACCTTAGACCGGCCGACGTTCTGATTTTTGGATGGGTTGGAGGAAAACACGCATGTGTGGACCTTACAGGGATATCCTCTCTCGTGGGCTTGAGGATCGGGGGTTTCACAGCGGGATAGATTGCTATAAACGCTGCTACAAGCCAGGTCACCAAACATGAGAAATCGTGTATGGAAAATCAACACGTGTTCGTACCATATGTATTTGATACGTTTGGTTTCCTCGCGCCGGATGCGGTGAAGTTTTTTAATAGAGTACAACAGATCATGCATAACAATGTTATATCCCTTAGATCTATAGATGTAATTTTCAAAAGAATTGACTTTACCATACAAAAAGACTTAGCGACATAGTTTGTTGCCCGTTTTTTATCTCACTTATTGTACGATGATAACTAAGTTCTATTATATATAGGTATACAAGTAACAACATATTTTTTCAGTTTATCCATGTCAAATTAACTAGTCGAATAAAGCTTGTGAGGTAATTGAAAAGAAAAAAAAAAACAAAATAAAACCATCAAAAATTGTAACACTTAAATTTTAGACTTTTTTTTTCAAGCTTACTGTAAAGAAACAATACGAGGTAATGAAAGTGATTACACATTTATTTTATAACTCATGTTACTAAAACAATCCGCCAAAGGGCTTCTAGCCCAGCGGTATCGGGTGTTATCCTCCGTCCTAGAGGTTGAGGGTTTAAGTCTCACTGGAGACATAAGTGGTATTAGGAGTAATTTAAGAGTAGCGTAGATTTTCCGTTCTAAAAAATTAAAAAAAAAAAAAAAACAATCAGTCCCGACGAAAAACTTTTACTTTGTCAACTCATGTTACTAAAACAATCCGACCCGACGAAAAACTTTTACTTTGTCAAAATATATTTATTGTAGCTTTTGTTTATAAAATTTTGTAAATAAATCGCTTGCTTTGGAGTTTTTAGATACCCAACTAACCTTTTTGAAATTTTCTTTAATAAATTCCTAATTCATATTTTATATTAATCTAATAATGTATTTCGTAGTTATTCATACCAAGGTTCTAAAAAGCTCGTCATGGCTCCGCCATGACTCCAAGGCTTATACCTGCCGTCAAGCTTTACTAAAACGCCGTCTTAACTCATATATGTGTAAAAAATAAGATAATAGTTGAAAATACATATAAAAATATTAATTATACACAAAACTGCCGCCTTAAGTCACGCCTTACAAACGACGTAGCTCGTCAAGGCTCGAAAAAGCTTGAGGCTTGATATTGCCGCAAAATCACGTCTTACGTTATTTAGAACATTGATTCATACATTTAAATATTGAAAAACATTGACAAAATAAAATTTTAATAAATTAAAATTAATGTTGCTGTATGTTCTAAGAATTACTAAGTACAAGTAGTAATTTCAAAATAAACTACATCCATATTTTAAATTTAGTTTTATGATAAGCATGTAATAGTCGAAAAAAATTATGATTTAAATTGATTATAAAATATTAAAAAAATCTAAACAAATATGATATTTTAATAGCTTATTTATGATATATATATATATATATATATATATATATATATATATATATATATATATATATATATATATATATATATATATATATATATATGGTTGAGATCGGTTGAGAACTCATAGTTTCCGAGAATCCGAAAACTAAAAGTGGAGCATTAGATCAAAACTAATTCATTAAGGGTATGATCGTAATCTTATCGATTTCATTTAATGTTTAATTTTTTGTGTTATTCTACATATTAATAGAAATGTCTAAAAAATTACATAATAAATCAAATTTTCGGATTTTTTTAAAAAAAGTATTTTTTTTCAGTTTTTTTTTAAAGTGCAGATTTTTTAATTTTTTAAAGAAAACATGAGTTTTTGAAAAAATAAAATTTCAGTTTTTTGCAGATTTTTAATAAAATAGTATTTTTTAGTTTTTTTTTTAAATAGTATTTTTCAATTTTTTTTTAAAATGCAGATTTTTTAGTTTTTTTTATAGAAAACATGAATTTTTGAAAAAAAAAATGAAAAAAATATTTTTAAAAAAAAACTGCATTTTTTTAAAAACATTTAAAAATCAATAAAAAAACTGGAATATTCAAAAAATACTATATTTTTTTAACCAAAAAAATCAACATTTTTGATACATTTATGCATATTTTTACAAATGCATATATGCATATTTTATATACTATAATATCTGTAAGAAAATCATAAGAAAACTCATTTTATTTACTAATCTATAAACACAATATAATAAGTATTTTATTCGATACAATATAAAATATAAAAAACAAAAAAATGCTACAAAATTTCAAAGCATTTTCATGTCTTCGTGTCAATATTTCCATATTTTCTTCAATTTATCATTTTCCACATCTTCAATATTCACCACAATTTCTTTCAAATCTACAAGAAAATTAAAAAGAATCTGATTGATGCAAAAACACTCACAAAAATACATATGTGATTTACATGTGAATCACATGTGATTCATATGTGAATCACATGTGATTCATATGTGAATCACATGTGATTCATATGTGAATCACATGTGATTTACATGTGAATCACATGTGATTTACATGTGAATCACATGTGATTTACATGTGAATCACATGTGATTTACATGTGAATCACATGTAATTCATATGTGATTTACATGTGAATCACATGTAATTCATATGTGATTTATATGTGATTTACATGTGTGTCACATGTGATTCATATGTGATTTATATGTAATTTACATGTGTGTCACATGTGATTCATATGTGAATTACATGTGAATCACATGTAATTCATATGTAAATCACAAGTGAATCACCAAGTTAGTATGAGAAAAAATATGTACATGTATAGATACCAAGTTAGTAAACAACTATGTGAAAAAAATATGTACATGTATAGATACCAAGTTAGTACCTATATACTTGCACATTCCAGGTTGTTTATTGGTTCTGGAGATAGTATTGCATTTGGAGCTGGGGTGATTTCTATTTCTGGAGCCTACCATAAAACAATGTTATTTTGAAAAAATATTTTTCAAACAAATAATCAAAAACAAATTAAATAATATTAAATGGTTCTAGAAGGAACTTTAACAAATACAGGACAAAATCAAGGTAAAAGATCCAAATCAAACCTAGATATATACAATAAACCACCTTCAAAATCAAATAAGAACCAATATCACTAGCATATATACAAAAAAGAATATAACAAACAGTAAAATTGTATTTTAAAACATCAAAATCAGGAATCAAATTGTTAGAGACACAGGAAGGAAGAAACCTGTTGGTAAGAGCGAGTATCCCAAGCCCTGGCAGTGTCATTAGACGAGCTTATAAGATCCATCAAAGCTGAGTGAATGCCCACATTTTGTGCACTGTATTCACCTCGATTAGATCGATGAAGGAACAATATATTAGTTCAAATCTAGACAAAATCGTGGATGTGCAGAGGTTGTACATTATGATATGGAAAATTGTACCATTCAACTCTTTTTGGATCAATGAAGGATGAAATACAATGAGGGGTGACCTGAAGCAAGAGTAAAGAAAATTACATCACAATTATGGATACAATGATAATCTGAAAGTCCAAGAAACTCACTGATGTGGAGTTGAGAAAGTGAGAACAATTTTAACTGATGACTTTATCAAATTAGGGTGCACAACTGTAGCTCTAGCAACAAAACCACCCATAGAGTGGCCAAATCAATTATACACAAATAATTCATTAATACTTACCAAAATTTGAAGACTTGAATTAAGAAAGTAATTAAGAAATTCAATTTGGAGCAAAATGAAAATTTTAAAATTTTAAATTCATATATATAAATTAATTTACATTTCTTAAGCTAAACATAAATATTAATTAATTTACATCAACAGTATAAACAAACAATATAAACCTAAGGTATGAACGTAAATATTTTATTTAAAAGTGGTAACTTTTTATTACATCATAATTAATA